AGCTGGAGCAGCCATTTCCTGTTACCTTCAGGCCTGAATCCAGACAGGATCTTGCAGCTCTCCTGGTTCTCATGCCTTTGAACTTAAACTAGAACTTCACCCTCACTTCTCCTGGGTCTGCAGTTCTCCTACTGCAGATCTTGGAACTTCTCAGCCTCCACAATGGTGTGAGCAAATTCCTTATAGTAAATATACATAAGTATTTTAGAATATATATATATAGTAAATTTTAGTGTGTGTGTGTATATATATATATATAGTAAATATATACTACATATTTTAAATAAAACATTAAATATTGAATATATATAATGTTATAATAATACATTTTATTATAGGAGATATAAATATACAAATATATTCATTGGTTCTGCTTTTCTGGAAAAATCCAAGATTAATATACATGGTAATGGCAGTTACCTCAAAAGACCAGAAGTTTTTAAGAAAGTAGGGAGAAAATGGTCAGGAAGAAAGAATGAGAAGCAGAAAGGAGGCTGTCCCACCTCCCAGCCTGTGCTCCATGGGGAATGGGAGAAGAAACGGACACCACAAGGCCTCCAGTCTCCTCAGGGGAGAGCAGATCTCATTCTTAGAAAGAAACAAACTTTCTGAGAAGAGATGAGGTCCAGGGAATTTTGTGGATGACAGACTTTTCCAGAGGACACAGAGGAAGGTTCTGAGTGGTAAGGAAGGGATAGGAGACTGAACCCTACTAAGGGATATAAAGAAGCTTATGGGACACAAGTCAGACAGGGAAAAAACAGACCAGCCTAAAGGCTTAGCCTGCTGGTGGAGGCTAATCTAAATGAGATGAACATATGAAGCGATGACATGATCTCTGATGGCCTTTCAGGAGAAGGTGACTAAACAGCTCTAATTCCATCCATGGGCCAGGAGTCTGGAGAGGGGAAGTCTCCTTAAATATTTCAAGGAGACATGAGCACAGGAGAGGCAGCTCCTCCAGCAGGAACCACTGGCTATGCCCTTCGATGGGGCTGCAGGGACTCTGACCACACATATTCTGCTCAGGTCACCAGTGAGTAACCTTACTACCAAGAAAATGGGAGGTAAAACTCAGCACCTTCCATTACAGAATGGAAGATGATTCTTGGTCAATGTCCCCTGAAGAGAATCTGGCCATACAAAAGCTTTGAGAAGATCTCCATGCCCCACAAATCACGGAAGACCAGGCCCAAGGGTAGGTCCTTGGTAACGTTTCCCACCCTGTCCATGCCAAGTTTTATCCTGTTTCTCATAGGAACCGGCTCATCCTAGACCACGTGTCTGCTTCCAGAGCATCTCTTGGGCCACATCCAGGTCCATGGGCAATGCTTCTTCCTCTTCCTGCAACTTCTCTCCCCTGGGAGCCCTCCCCACTCCCACCGTGCATCAGTACACCACCCACCACTTCCTTGACTTTGTCCAGCCTTCCCTTGGGCTTCCTCACTTCATATACCATCTCTCTGTTCATTCATTCAACATTATTAACGTTGACAACAACTCCCCTACCCTCTAACAACAACTCTGTCTGCTAAGTCACTTCAATCGTGTCTGACTCTGTGTGACCCCACAGTCGGCAGCCCACCTGGCTCCCCCATCCCTGGGGTTCTCCAGGCAAGAACACTGGAGTGGGTTGCCATTTCCTTTCCAATGCATAAAAGTGAAAAGTAAAAGTGAATTCGCTCAGTTGTGTCCGACTCTTTACGATCCCATGGACTGCAGCCTACCAGGCTCCTCTGTCCTTGGGATTTTCCAGGCAAGAGTACTGGAGTAGGGTGCCATTGCCTTCTCCTAGATTGCTTAAATGATGTGTTCTCTGGAAAACGTGTGTGATGGACTGTTGGCCACAGTTCCATGCCTGAGTCATCTTTGGAGTCCCAGTTCAGCCATCCTTGATCCCCGCTGTGATTATTATCTCTTCCTAAATGTGAAAAGCCCTTGAGATACATTTTTTTCCAAAGCACTTATTGCCATTTGACACAATAGCAAAATCTTCCAGTCCCCATTTCCCAAAGTCAACTGTCCTCACTCACAACCTTGCTACTTGGTAATGAAGCTAACATCTCACTTTTTAAAACATTCATTCAAATGTTTACACAATAGATACTACATTATTTAGTCTCTCACTTCTTCAGTCTGTTCTGTTTTAATCTTTTAAGAGAGCATCAATCACATATTTATGCAGTGTAGTGTCACATTCAGACAGATGTTAACTATTTTTATCTTGATGAAATAAAAACTCAAGAGTAGATTTGTAGTGGGACTTCCCTGGTGGTCAAGTGGCAAGACTCTGTGCTCCCAATGCAAGGGGCTAGGTTTGATCCCTAGTAGGGACTTCCCTGGTGGTTCAGACAGTAAAGAATCTGCCTGCAATGCAGGAGACCTTGGTTCAATCCCAGGGTCAGGAAGATCCCCTGGAAAAGGGAATGGCTACCCACTCCAGTATTTTTGCCTGGAGAATTCCATGGACATGGAGCCTGGTGGGCTACAGTTCATGCAGTCGCAAAGAATCAGACACTATTTAGTGATTAACACTTTCACTTTCAGGGAATTAGATCCCACATGCCACAAAGATCAAAGATCCTCTGTGCCAAAACTGAGACCTGAAGAAGCCAAATAAATAAATATTTTTTTAAAAAGAGTACACTGGTGATAACCCAACACAAGACCAACTGTAGCCAGTGCGCTCTCATCACAGTCTTCCATTTGGTCACTGAAGCTTAGAGTCATGCATTTTTCAGAGAATAGATTAGCATTTTACATTTTGCAGGTGGCTCTTCCAGCTGCCCACATTGACCCTGAAAAGATAAGCAAGTTTAAAGCCTGTCTCATTCATTCATTTTTGGGTCTAGTTACTCCCGCGGACCTTGGAGAGAACCATTTGTGTCTCAGTGACAAGGGAAGCATGCTCATCAATACCCTTGGGGGCGTCTTCATTCATTCGTTTCCTCAGAACTATCACAATCAAAGAGTAGCGGCAAGTTCTGCACAATTTCTCGGCAGTTTGCCAAAAAAGCAGAAAGACTCAGTGTTCAACTCTGGGGATCAGAGATGTATTCATCAAATCTGAGATTTTCCAAGTCCTCCTCCTCTCCTCCTCCCTGATCTTCATGTCTTTGATTGTGAAGTCAAGCAATCAACAGGAAAAGGGAGATGCGGCTCCTTGGCATATAGATGCCTTCCAGTGCCCCGCGTCCCAGTCCCTCAACCCACTGTCTACCTATCTGAGGACTTAAGGGAGCCCTCTGACTCATCCTGTGTTTCGCAGCCCCCACTCCTCCTGACTCAGGCAGTCACTATTTATCTTTTCCTGTCTGTGCTTCTGAGGAGCTGGGAGAGGAGGAGGAAAAAATTAACCCTCTCATCATGGGGATGGAGTAGGGGAATGACAGCTGCAACCTCCTGTTCTTCAGGGAGAGGGGTCTTTCCAGGGGTTCCTCCAAGGAGCTCCCAGTCTGGCCCTTCCAGCTCAGCAGCACCTCGACTGGCTTTATAGTTGAGACTGTGTTTCCAGGTGGAGCTAGTGGTAAAGAACCTGCCTGCCAAAGCAGACGACATAAGAGATGCAGGTTCAATCCCTGGGTCAGGAAGATACCTTGAATATCCCACTCCAGTGTTCTTGCCTGGAGAATCCCATGGACAGAAGAGCCTGGAGGGCTATAGGCCATACGGTCACAAAGAGTGAGATACAGCTGAAGTGACTTAGCATGCATGCATGAAAGTGAAAGTGAAAGTCGCTCAGTTATGTCCAACTGGGCGACCCCATGGACTATACAGTCCATGGAATTCTCCAGACCAGAATACTGGAATGGGTAGCATTTCCCTTTTCCAGGGGATCTTCCTAACCCAGGGATCGAATCCAGGTCTCCCACGTTGCAAGTGGATTCTTTACCAGCTCAGCCACAAGGGAAGCCCAAGAATACTGGAGTGGGTAGCCTATCCCTTCTCCAGCGGATCTTCCCATCTCAGGAATCAAACTGGGGTCTCCCGCATTGCAGGTGGGTTCTTGACCAGCTGAACTATCAGGGAAGCCCATGTTCACAGAGTTTGTTTCAAATAAACCCTGAGAGGATAACCTCACAGGACCATGTGGCAGGTCTGTTTTAGATCCAGTGCAGTTATGATATAATCATCTGTATGCATAATGAAAAGTAATAAGATTGGCAGTCCATTGCCCTACATGGTGAACCGGGGTCTCCTGCATTGCCTGGCAACATCCATACCTGCATATTCGCTTCCCCTCCCCCGCCTCCCTCTCCCCACTCCCTAACTCCTGACTCCTAGAATCACCTTCTTTGGCTGTGGAAGAGATTTAAGCTGAAACTCTATCCTTCGCCCCATCAGTTTTGTGTAGTCAAGAAACTGGGTGATGAGTTAACTGAATTTATGAGCCAATTTTAAATGACAATATTGGATTATCTGAAAATTTCCCTAATTCCTTGAAAAGTCCTGGCCTGTACATCTGCAATATAGCCATTCTTTGAAGAAATATAAAGTAGACAGACCCAAAAGGCAAAGATGCTTCTGTCTCTTAGGTAATATTAGCGCTTATGAGAGCCAAAATGCAGGTCCACAAAGAGACCATCATAAGCAGCAGCCAACCTTAAAACAAGACTTTGACAAACCAGTGAGTTGAAAATTCGATGTGGACAGTATCTCATTCTTTATGTCCTAAGGAGCCTTGGAAAAAATCAATGAATGCTTATTGACTGACTCTTCAACTTCAATTGAAGATAGCAAATTAAAGGTTCTGGAGCAAATTTGGTTCTCCATCAGCGGGATAATTCTGTAGTCCCAGAGAAGTCTAAGAGCAAGCTAAGGGTTTATCTCAAAAGTCAGATCACTCAGGGATGGTAAGTAAATCCCCTCTCAACTATTCATTTGTAAATTTTATATATCTCTTGCTTACCATGTTTGCTGATTCACATGGCAGAAAAATGTTTTACCAAAGTTTTCCCCTATTTTTTGAATGAACACAATTCATGTCACAGCAACAAGTATTTAAATAATAGTCATTTTTTATTAAGATATAAAAATGTACTTTGGAAAATGTCTATTTTAAAAGATATTTATAGAGTTTAAGGATGAATTCTTATAACTCTAGAGTGTTTGGTTGGGGGTGTTTGGAGTTTCTTGTTTTTGTTATTTATTCATCTGGCCATCTTTTTGTTTCCTGCTGTGTAAAAGGGATAATCTAAAACAAAGGGAGAAATAAATATCAGAATTAGGGTATGACTTTGTTATTGGTAAGCTTAAAGATACAAAATTTATAATTGTGAATTATGGAATATCAGTGTTAGGATCTGACATAGATTTCCAAAAATTATTTAAAGGAGGAAAGTTTATTTGAATATCTTAGGTTTACAGATGACAGAAAAGTCCATTCAGAAGAAAAGTTTCTGTATAGTCATAAAAGCAGATGACTTTTAATGTGAACTGGGACCCTTTCAGGTTAAGTAGTGCATGTGTATGAAGGGGCTGTAATAGTCTGCTCAGTCTGCATACACTAGGCCACAGAAGGGGTGGCCCTTACCAGAGAAATTTATTTTCTCCCAGTTCTAGAGGCTGCAAGTGAGACAGGCTGGGACCTGGGACCCTTTGCAGCAGTGCTGTAGTGTTTGCATCTGGACATATCTCTCGTGGAGAACAAAATAAAAGAAAACTCTCTGGGATTAAAAATAGCCATGTGTATGCACAGTTGGGGCAAATTCTGGACCTTAAACACACAAAGAGACCAAAAAACCACACTGCTACTTTTAAAAAGCCCAGAGCAAAAGCAAAGTACTGTGTGTGTCCCTTGCTCTGGACACCACCTAAGGAGTGGGCAGACCCCTAAGCCACCCCTGCAGCCTGATCCCTGAACAAACCTCTATCCTCACCGGGTGCAAGAAACAAGCTTGCCACCCGCCTCCCAGGGAGAGAGCAAGCAAGGGAAACTGGTTTGTTCTCCTGCTGCCCTGCTGCAGCAGAGACCCCAGCAAAGCCCTGCCTGAATTTCTTGTGTGGCCTCTAGTCAATTTCTATCAATTGGGAAAGGTGAAGAGCCCTGACTGGTAACAGAAGTCCAAGATCAAAGTGCCAGGAAATGTGATTCCTGGTGACCATTCCTCCTGGCTTGCAGCCGGCTGCCTTCTCCCCCTATTCTCCCGTGGCCCTTCCTCTGCCAGGTGCTCGGAGTGAGAGAGTTCTCTGGGGTCTCCTCCTCCTCTAGGGACACCAATCCATCAGATTAGAGCCCTACCCTACAACCTCTTTTAACCCTAATTAGCTCCCAAAGGCCCCACCTCCAAATACCATCCTGTTAGGGTCAAGGCTCCAACACAAGAATTTTGAAGAAGACACAATTCATCCATGAGAGGCGTCATGCCCTTTGATACTATAATGTATCTTTTTAGAATCTATCCCTGGAGGGGGTCACTGGCAACCCACTCCAGTATTCTTGCCTGGAGAATCCTATGAACACAGGAGTGTGGCTTGCTACAGCCGACAAGTTGCAAAGAGTTGGACATTGCTGAAGTGACTGAGCACAGAATCTATCCAAAGGAATGATTCCAAATTATGTGAAAACATGTATGTAGAGAATTTTCCTTGTAAGAAGATATACAGAACTAACCTAAAATATGCAACAATAGTAAGGACGTAAGAATGACAGAGCCAGAAAAAGAAATGTTATGTAGCCGTTAAACATGGCAACTCAAAGATCATACAGCAACAAGAAAAACATTTATAATGGTAGGGGCTTTTTAAAAAAAAGATGAAGGATCAAGTAGCTCTGGGATTGAACTGGCTTTGGGTTTTCTCAGTTACTGTTACCATTATGAACTGATTTGTCCCCCCCTAAAAAAAACCCATTTGAGGAAGCCCTAGTGTTAGTCGTTCAGTTGTGCCCGACTCTGCAAACCCCATGGACTGTAGCCCACCAGGTTCCTTTGTCCATGAGATTTTCCAGGCAAGGATACTGGAGTGGGTTGCCATTGCCTTTCCAAGGGGATCTACCCAACTCAGGGATCAGACCCGGGTCTCCTACATTTCAGGGAGAGTCTTTACGACTGAGCTACAAAGGAAGCCCTAACCCCCAGTAAATCAGAACACGACTGCACTTGGAGATGGGACTTTTACAGGTTTGTGTGTGTGTATGCGTCCTTGTCACTATGCATGTCCGACTCTGTGATCCCACAGACTGTAGCCCACCAGGCTCCCCTGTCCAAGGGATTCCCCAGGCAAGAATACTGGAGTGGGTTACCATTTCCTCCTCCAGCAGATCTTCCCGACCCAGGGATCAAATTCATGTCTCCTGCGTCTCCTGCATTGCAGGCAGATTCTTTACCATCTGAGTCACCAGGGAAGCATCTGAAAGAGGTAATAAAGGTTAAATGAAGTCACAAGAGTGGACTCTAATCCAACCTGACTGGTGTCCTTAGAAGAAGAAGAAGAGGTGCCAGGGATGCTCCTGCACAGAACAAAGACCATCTGAGGGCACAACCAGAAGAAAGCCATCTGCAAGCCAAGGAGGGAGGTCGTGGGAGAAACCATCCCCACTGACATCTGTGAGAAAATAAAGTTCTGTAGTTCTAAGCCACCAAGTCGGTGGTACTTTGTTATGGCAGTCCAAGCTGACTGATCCCATTACCCTCACGGAACCAAAGACTTGATAATCCCTCGGATGCTCTGTGCTCAGGTAGGAGCTGAAGTGCAGAAAGGTTTACCTCTGTGCTCAGGCCCTATCCTCAGCTTTCACCCGACCCTGCACACCTGCCTCTCGGAGTTTCCTGAGCTTCTGGGAGCTCTTGCTCCCTCCCCTGCTCCCTGTCCCTGCTGGGCTGGCAGGTGTGATTGAGCGTCTTCATCGCCCAGCCCAGCATCAGCCTCAGATCGTCCTTTGGGCTTGGGACTTGAGGGTGGAGCTTTGCAGGTATCCCTGAACCTCCTTCCCATGAAGGTCCAGCTGCTCTGTATCGTCAGTGAGTCCTACAAGAGCGCTCCCTGCCCTCCCCAGCGACAGGAGATGCTAGTGGCGTGAGTGTAGGATGCTGGGCCAGTGCTCTCTCCACCCATCTCAATGGACATGAGCTTGAGCAAACTCCTGGAGATAGTGGAGGACAGGGAAGTCTGGCCTGCTGCAGTCCTCAGAGCCACAGAGAGTCAGACACATCTTAGTGACTGAACAACAACAACTCCCAGGTAGAGGAGTTGTCTCTCCAGGTAGAGGGTCTGACTTCTTTCCTTCCTTCAGCATCAACTGGTGTGTATCTGCATCTCAGAGGCTACAAACCCCACTGCCTCCTTTCCTATCTGGAGAAGGGAATGGCAACCTACTCCAGTATTCTTACCTGGAAAACCCTACAGACAGAGGAGCCTGGCAAGCTATGGTATGGGGTCACGATGAGTTGGGCATGACTGAGCAACTGAACACATCGGTTTAAGGCTTCAAGTGATGGATCAGGAGCTAGGGTGGGGTTACTGCTCCCCTCCCCTCACTCTGCCCCTGCAATGGTATCTAATATAGTCTGCAGGCCTGCATCACCAACTGGGCTCTCTCCAGCCTAACCCAATCTGCCTGGAGAGTCTCTGATGGAGTTCCATTGGAGAGAGTCTGGGGGTTGGTCCAAGTCCCATTAAGTCTAGGGGTCTCTTTACTGCCATGTTAGTCCACACTAGGTTTGTAGCAATTAATTAAAAATTTTGCTGACTTCTTTGGAACACTTTGATGACAGGAGTGACTTCATCTCTGTTCTGAGGCAGTACTTGTGACTGGAGGGAAGAACTTCACCCCTTGAAATTGAGGCTACTTGATTGCCCTATGATGAGTTCAGGAAAAATTACAACTTTGTGGCTTATCTGGCTTCTTCTCCTGAAAGTCTGAGTGATGTTCTTTCCAGCTTTCTCCACCCTAGGCAGAAGTGGGACCCACATCCAATTTTAAGTGATGTGTTTGCTGCATGTAAATGCTGAATTCAGCACCAGAAAAAATAAGCTTTGCAAACAAGACAACATCAAGCCCAGAACTATAATTACCATGAGGCTCTGATATCACTGATAATTCTCCAACACTCAAAATTATTCCAAGGAGAATGTAAACAGTTAAGAAAAATGACAGATGGGAAGAGATGAAATGGATACAGCCACTATGGAAGACTATATGAAGATTCCTTAAAAAACTAGAAATAAAACCACCATATGACCCAGCAATCCCACTCCTCGGCATAACTGAAAAATTATGAAAAAGGAAACCAAAATTGAAAAAGACACATGTATCCCATTGTTCATTGCAGCACTATTTACAACAGCTAGAACATGGAAGTAACCTAGACAGATGAATGGATAAAGCAGTTGTGGTACATATACACGATGGAATGTTACTCAGCCATAAAAAGAAACACCTTTGAGTCAGTTCTGATGAGGTGGATGAACCTAGAACCTATTATACAGAGTGAAGTAAGTCAGAAAGAGAAAGATAAATATCATATTCTAATGCACATATACAGAATCTAGAAAACGGTACTTAAGAATTTATTTACAGGGCAATAATTGAGAACCAGACATACAGAATAAATTTATGGACATGGGGAGAGGGGAGGAGAGGGTGAGATGTATGGAAAGAGTAACACAGAAACTTACATTACCATGTGTAAAATAGATAGCCAACGGGAATTTGCTGTATGTCTCAGGAAACTCAAACAGGGGCTCTGTATCAACCTAGAAGTGTGGAATGGGGAGGAAGATGGGAGGGAGGTTCAAAAGGGAGGGGATATATGTATACCTATGGCTGATTCATGTTGAGGTTTGACAGAAAACAACAAAATTCTGTAAGGCAATTATCCTTCAATTAAAAAATAAGTTAAAAAGAAAAAAACAAAAAGATACATGCACTTTTATGTTCATAGCAGCACTATTCACAATAACCAAGACATGATAGCAATCTAAATGTCCATCGACAGATGAATGGATAAAGGTGTGGTATGTAGTACAATGGAATACTACTCAGTCATAAAAAACAATGAAATAATGCCATTTGAAGCCACATGGGTGGACCTAGAGATTATCATACTAAGTGAAGTAAGTCAAAGACAAATATCAAATGATATTACATGTGGAATCTAAAATATGACACAAATGAACTAATCTATGAAATAGACTCACAGATGGAGAGGACAGCCTTGTGCTTACTAAGGAGAAGGGAGGGATGGATTGGGCGTTTGGGATTAGCAGATGCAAACTGTTATATATAGAATGGATAAACAATGAGGTACTACTGTATAGCACAGGGAACTATATTCAATATCCTGTGATAAACCATAATGGAAAAGAACATGGAAAAGAATGTGTGTATATGTATAACTGAATGACTCTGCTGTATCGCAGAGACTAACACAACACTGTAAATCAACTATACTTTAATCAGATAAATTTTTAACTAAGGTGATATAAAAGGGAAGTCATTTATAAGACTACAAAAATAAAGCCTAGTAGGACCCCCAATGGCTCAGCAGGTAAAGAATCTGCCTGCAATGCAAGAGACACGTGTTCAGTCCCTAGGTTGGGAAGGTCTCCTGGAGGAGGAAATGGCAACCCACTCCAGTATTCTTGCCTGAAGAATCCCCATGGACAGAGGAGCCTGGTGGGCTACAGTCCAAAGAATCACAAAAAATCGGACACGACTGAGCACACAAGCACAGAACTAAACCAGAAGACATATGAAGTCATCAGATCCCTGAGTCCACGCTGAGAATTACCAGGATGCAGCAGCTATAAATCCAGACGGATCCCTGGGCACTGTATGAGCAACTCAAATACTCAGAATAGCGGTGCTATTGGGCTGCAGTTTTCCAGAATGGTGAACAAGTCTTGAGGAAGCTCCTCCCTAAACCAACTTTAATCTTCTGTTGATTGTCAAGATAACTGTGTTTATAGAGAAGTCAATGTACTTTACATGCATGATAAATATACTTTATGATTGTATTTATTGTGAGATATTTATAGTGAAAAATAGGCTCAGGTTAAATTAATCCCTGGATATATGCCCAGGAGCAGGAATGCTGCATCATGTGGCAACTTTATTTTTAGTTTTTAAAGGAACCTCTAATTTTCGTTTTTTTAAGGCACCTCCATACTGTTCTCCATAGTGGATGCATTCCCACCAACAGTGTAGGAAGGTTCCCTTCTCTCCATACCCTCTGCAGTATTCATTGTTTGTGGATTTTTGATGATACAGATTTATCACTTATGTAGAAGATACAGATTTATCACTTATGTAGAATGTCTGCTGAGACATTTGAACATTTTGCAGACTTTTCCCTAGTGTTGTAGAAATCTAGAAACCCACCTTCAACTGAAAGTCTCCAGGAATGTCAGTCACTAAGAAGCTCAAGCATTGCACCTGCCCAAGAAGAAGGGTCACACCTTTGACCAAAGAGGCCACAACTGAAAGGAGCCAGGCAATGTGCCCAGGGTCACAGAGCAAGCTGGCTGCGAGCCGTCGCTTCTTTGCAGGCTGTTTTCCCCTGTACCAGGCTTTTAGAGGCCTCTAAGTCTTCCCTAGTGGCTCAGAGGTTAAAGCGTCTGCCTGCAATGCGGGAGACCCGGGTTCGATTCCTGACTTGGGATGATCCCCTGGAGAAGGAAATGGCACCCACTCCAGTACTCTTGCCTGCAGAATCCCATGGAGGGAGGAGCCTGGTAGTCGCAGAGAGTCAGACATGACTGAGCGACTTCACTTTTCACTTTCACTTTTTAGTCTCCAAAAAAGGGAAAATTTAACTCAGTAATGACCCCCCCAAAATAAAATAAATCACAGTGATTTCTTTGAGCCATAGTTCGGTGCCTGTGTCCCCTTGACTGGAGATAGTGCGGGACCAGGTGAGCCAAGGAAGAGAGAGTGGCCACTAAACATGCTTTAGTCAAAATGGGCCTGGAGAGCCTGGAGGTTCTGAAAACAAGGTGAGCCACAGCAGAAGAGCAAAGCCCCTTTCCATGTGCCCACGCTGCTTCTGAAATGAATCATTCATTTTGCAGGAGTGTATCCACCACGTGGAACACACCTGCCCTGATAGGAACAATGCCAGGGCCACAGGGAGCTGGTGGGTAAGGAGCCAGCCACCTTCATGGAATTTAATGGGCAAGTAGCCAGTCAGTAATTAATTACACAATTACATCATTAGTGCAATGAAGGAGACAGCGAAGGTGACATATTAATTGTGTCGAGACATTAACCCAGCAGGGAAGGAATCAGAGTTCCATCAAGGAACCAGGAAGCTCTGTTTCAGAATGTTGTTGTTCAGTCGCTCAGTTGGGTACAACTCTGTGACCCCTTGGACTGCAGCATGCCAGGCTTCCCTGTCCTTCACTATCTTTTGGAGTTTGCTCAGATTCATGACCCTTTAGTCAATGATGCTAACTATCTCACCCTGTCACCCGCTTCTTCTCCCGCCCTCAATCTTTCCCAGCATCAGCGTCTTTTCCAATTAGTCAACTCTTCGTATCAGGTGGCCAAAGGATTGGAGCTTCAGCTTCAGCATCAGTCCTTCCAATGAATATTCAGGACTGATTTCCTTTAGGATAGACTGGTTTGATCTTGCAGTCCAAGAGATTCTCAAACATCAGAATAAGGGATTAATCATCAGAATTCCACCTCCCACATCACAGGACATGCTGGGGAAGGAAAGGCCCAGAAGGGGAGGGTTGGAGGGTCAGAAAAGAGGCCCTATGCAGGGCCTGTGAGGGGAAGCTGAGAAGCCCAGGTGAGCACGGCCCCTGCAGTTGGGCCACAGGAGAGGAGTGAGATGTGAAGTGATAGTCAGCAGCCACATGAACTAGAACCTGGGAAGAAACACAGCCTTACTCTCAGCTCGAGCACCCCAACGACACAGGTGCCCTGCAGAAGCCAGCAACCTTCCCTGCAGAGCTTCACACACCTGCCAGGACCCAGAGAAGCAGGGGAAAGGGTCATGGGCAAGCCAGAAGGGCTTGCAGCAGGCCAACCTTGGCAGGGGTGAAGTCCAAGGGCACCTGGACTTCCTCATGCATCATCACTGGGCCTTCATGTCCGCCTCCCAAATTGCAGGCATCTTTCTGTGTGGCCAGCTCCCACCCGGAACCACAGCAGACAGAGTAGCCAACTAACAGTGCAGAAGCATCCAGAGGCCTCACCAAAGAGAAGCTGAAGGATCAGCTGGAGTTGCATAAAGTGAAGGAAGGGGGGAGTGGATGATCCAAGAGGTACAAAGGCCCTGGGGTGGGCGGACCCATAGATCCCTGTGGTACCTTCTGCACCGCAGTGACCAGTGTGGAGAGTGATGCCCGGCCAGGGAGGGTTGGGGGAATACCCAGCTGGGCCTCGGAGGCCATGGCAGGGTTTGAAATTTCATCCTAAGAGCGATGGAGAGGCAGGGGAGAGTCGCCCAGAACACACCGCAGGCAGAGAACCTACCCTGGAGTATGAAAGGCCTGGGGTCAGAAGACACACGGGTCTGTCTGCGACTGTATCTTGTGACTTCACTTGGCTCATTGGGACCACACTGGACTAAGCGAGGACTCACTGACATAACCCAGGAAAGTGTCCTTGTGTGGAGGTAGGTCAGCACACTGCTGATTCAAAGGACCACAGAGTGACTGTGTCGGTCTTTGCGGGCCAAATGGTCTCGGTCACAGCTCTTTTCAACTCTTTCTTCAGGCCTGAATATAGCCCCAGAAAACACGTCCACAGTGACTGGCTTCTGATAAAACCCCGCTTGTGGACACTGACATTTGAATTGCACATAATTTTCACCTCATAAAACATTATTCTTCTTTTGCTTTTTTTCAACCATTTAAAAATGCAAAAACTGTCCTTAGTTCATGGGCCATAATAGAACTTAGCAGCAGCTGAACTTGACTCAGGAGCACATATACATACACACCATACAAATACACAAACACAGCACACACACATACACTCACATACATAAACACAGAACACAAACAGATACATTCACATATGCAAAAACAGCACACATACATACACATCATACAAATAAACACACAAACACAGCACACACACACACACATCATACAGTTACATGCACAAACCCAGAACACACACACACACAGCACAACTGTGAAGAGGCTGCTCTAAGCCTCCAGGCTGACTGCACAGCCTTTTAGTTCAGTCCAGTTTGTCCATTCTGAGTGAAACAAACAAAACTAGAGCAACTGTAATTTTTTAAATTAGTTTTTGATTTAGACAATCATGTGCTATTCATTGAACTACCTTAGACTTTATTAGCCATGAAATTGGAGCATTACCAAGAGTTGCTAAATTCAGTTACTCTGTGAAACATCCTACATTCTTAAGGTTTCTGTAGAGAAATATAATTAATACATCCTATGCTACATTTCCCCCATAGACATTACTAGAATCTTATAAATTGTCTGCTTTGTCAACCCAGTATGATTATGAGGCCAGGCACGAACCGCTCCGTCTGAAGCCATAGGGTGAGTGATGATTCTCACAAATCTTCCCACCAGCCCACAGGGTCAGAATCTCATTATAGTCTTAGAAATAACATGTCTCACTCAACAAAAGAAGACGATTGTGGGGTTGTTTCCGCTCTGGACCCAGGCTGCTGCTTCAAATTCTGCCTTTCCCAAGTTGAGAAGCCAGAGCACCTGCTTCATAAGAGTTACAGTGTGAGCCTCACCTGAGGCCGCGGCCTGTGGCATGATTTACAGGCTGTGCAGGGTGAGAATTAAATATTTACCAACTGCAGGGGAACGAGGCTCCTTCCAAACGCTGCAGGGATGAGGAAAGTCTGCAAGCACTCGGAGCAGGGCAACCTCGGTCCTAAGAAGTGGACCATGTCTGGTGAGCACAGGTCAGAGGACTGGGGAGGTGGGCATCTCCAGAAGGGACTTCAGGGGTTCACTGTTCAACCCCTTTGTTCTACTGACGCATCACCAAAGATAAAACCCACTAAAGTTCAATGCAGCCAAATTCCTTTCCTCTGATATGTGTCCTCTTGGGGTAAATGGATTCACCCCAAGAAGAAGAAGTGGAACCCTGCCAGGCACAACATCTTTCCCTGTGACATCACAAGCACATTCTCGACGCCTCAAGTTCTGTTTCCTAAATGTCATCAAGGGTCTTCTCCCTGCCTCTCCCACCCATCAGCCACACTCACCCCTCTCCATCCTGCGTGGATGCCATCAGCCAGCTCTCTGGAGACCTGGCTCTGGTCGGGCTTGGTGAGCAGCAGAGTGAGGAGACTGTGTCTTTGTTACCTGACTCCCTCCCAGCCAATTGTCCATGGCTTGGCCGTGTCCCTCTACCTGTGGCCCAGCAACTGTCAGGAGCCTTCTCTGTGCAGGCCTGGCCACCTCTCGTGCCCCGTCAGTCCTGTGGATGGTGACCTAAATGTCCTGCAAGGGTCTGCTGGACCACCATCTATCCCATTCTACCTGCCCGAACCCCTTCCCCTGGAATAGCCCATCTCTTCCTCCATCTGAGACCCACATTCTCATCTGGATCTCACCTGGGTCAGTCCACCCACAAAGAGGACTGTCCTCCGTCTTTGCACAGGACACATATTCTTTCCAAAGGGCATGTTGCTGTTGTTGCTGTTGTTGTTTAGTCATCAAGTCATATCCGATTCTTTGTGACCCCACAAACTGCAGCACACCAGGCTTCCCTGTCCTTCACTCTTCTGAGTTTGCTCAAAACGCATGTCCATTGAATCAGTGATGCCATCCAACCATCTCATCCTCTGTCATCCCCTTCTCCTCCTGCCCTCAATCTTACCCAGCATCAGAGTCTTTTCTGATAAGTCCACTCTTTGCATCAGCTGACCAAAATATTGGCGCTTCAACTTCAGCATCAGTCCTTCCAATGAATATTCAAGGCTGATTTCCTGAATGACTTGAGTCCTCTTTTACCAGCTAAGACACCAGGGAAGCCCTAAGTAAACAAAGGAAGATCCTTAACTCCCTGGGGCAGGCTTGGAATCTGACAGTGTAACCAAGGTCAAAGAACCCGGAAAGGATGGGCAGGTGCGGTCTCCCTGGCTCTCATTTTGTGACTCAAGGCTTTGAGGGACACTTGTTTAAATACATCTGTAGCTTCATTGGTCTTTCATTGGCAGAGAGGCATATGTATCTTTCAGAGAAATGTCCTTGGACACGATGCTTTAACTTCCCTCACCCCTTCCCCCAAGCCTGCTTCAGCTCTGTGCATTGCAGGGGTGAGAGAGGTTTATCACATCAGCAAAATCCCATTATCAGTTGAGAGCTGCCCTGGGGTTTGCAGGATTCCTAAATAGAAGCTGGCAAGTACACAGACATAACACTGCAAGCAAACACAGACTGCATGTTTGTGTAAAACAGCCCATCCTTGACACACCAAGGTCATTTCCAAGTAGATAGTTCTAGGTCAGCACTATCCAAAAAGCTTTCTGCAGCAATGAAATCTGTAACCTACATGTCCGACATAGCAGCCACTAGCCACACATGGTATTGAGCACTTGACATGTGGCCACTGGGATTGAGGAAATCAATCATATTTCATTTAATTTCAAATAATTTAAATGCAAATAGCCACATGTGTCTATGGTATTGGATAGGTCAACTCTAGATAGTTCTATTTGTAAAATGTTCATTCCTCTTGTAAGATAAAAACTAGCCAGGGGACTTCCCTGGTAGTCCAGTGGCTGAGACTCCATACTCCCAATGCAGGGGACCTGGGTTTCCTTCCCAGTCAGGGAACTAGATGCCCCATGCTGCAATTAAGACTGAACACAGCCAAATAAATAAACAAATTTTTTTTTTAATAAACTAGCCAAATATCCCTTTGAGAAAGCTTACTCATGGAATAAGCTACTGTTAGAACCTGTTTACTCATAATATAGGAAAACTTCCCAGAATCTAATGAATGAAAAAAATATTATAGACTGATTCACCAAGCATGTAGCAAGTTGGAGAGATTTCTATGGAGATCATTTGGCATCATTCTCCAGAGTTTAAAACTTAAAGTTCAATTGTATTCTACATGCAACGCCCCCCCCCCAACTCCTAAAATAACCACAAGAATATGATACTTATAGAAGACAGATGGCAAATATTCATTAAATGTCCATATACTATCTTTTTCAATATTGATCTATTTGATGTTAGTATTCATTCAATGCCTACAGAATGCCAGATTCTGTAGAGGCTACAAAAGGCATAAATGACATAATATTTGCCTTGTCCCAGGATCCAAATTCTGTGGCAATTTAAGGAAAGCAAACCATGAAGTGAAAAATACAGAATTCACTCATCAAACAGCTCTGCTTAAAGGGCCTCCTGAACACTCTGGTCTTTCTTCTTTCTCATTCAGGGATGGAGGCGGGAGACAGAATCATGTTGACAGGAAGTAAAGAAGTCTTGATAATAAACAAGAGTCTCATTTTTAAGCAGTTGTATTGGCAATTAATGTTTCTCATTAAAACCATCTAATGTTTCTCATTAAAAGGACTCTCAGGAAAGTGATATAGCAATATTCATGGCTTTCTGAAATTTTGCACTTTTAGTTTCACCCTTCAAGAACATAGGTGACCAATTCCCTCACATTAGGGACAGTCTTATAAGAGGTATTTTTTTCAGGATCTTCTAAGTAGTGGTGATATTCAAAGTATTTGACAACCTGAAAGACTGAAGGCAGGATGAGAAGGGGATAACAAGATGAGATGGTAGGATGGCATCACCGACTCAATGGACATGAGTTTGAGCAAGCTCCAGGAGTCGGTAATGGACAGGAAAGCATGGCCGTGCTGCAGTCCATGGGGTTGCACACAGTCAGACATGACTGAGCAACCGAACTGAACTGAACTGAAAGCAGGAAAGCCACCCAATCAGAATAATTAGTCTAGGTACACCAGCAAATCAGAATGCACAGTGCTTGGGAACCACCCAATCAGAGAAGATATTTGTATGTATATCAACCAATCAGAATGGATAATATATGGGAACCAGCCATTCAGAACAGGTACAGAGTAGAACACAGTCCCATGTTGTGCCAGCAAATCTCCCTTGAGTTAGTCATCAATTCATAGAAGAGGGTCCAGGGTAGGGGCTGACTGTAATTTAAGATTAAAAAAAGTATTTTATGTCATGATAGTATACAGATACTCATCATTTTATTATGCTTTGCTTTATTGTGCTTCATAGATATTGCATTTACAGACTGAAGGTTTGTGACACCCAGCAGAAGTCTATCAGTGCCATTTTCCAGCAGCCTTTGCTCACTTCCTGTCTCTGTGTCACAGTTTGGTAATTCTCACAGTATTTCAAACTTTCATTATTATTATACTTGCTGCGGTTGTGGATATAAAATGTTGCCTGCCATATCAGCAAACAAAGGATGCTGTGGCCATCAAGCCATCAGCCACTGCAGTCGGCCCTGAAGCTGAGCCCTGAGGGGACCCAGGATAGGAAAGAACAGGATCCTGGCTCCAGACAGTTGAGATGCACAGAAAAGGAATGATTGCAGCGAGCACAGGCTCTTGTATCTCCCCATACATAGAAAAACACTGAATTGCTTAACTTGAGATGTCTGGTTTTCTTTAATTAACGGTCTCCTTTTGATGACTATCTGGTCATTGTTGCAAAAACTTCTCCATATCCTGTCTCCTCCCTTACCTCTTGGGAGCAGTTCCTCGGAGCTCAGTAGGAGGCTGCCTTCTAGGCTTGATGGCTTTAGAAAATTTGCCAAATTAAAAAATTCTCCGTTTTTAGGTTAGGCAGTTTTTTTCAATTGATAACCTGTGATCAGTGATTTCTGATGTGACTCTTGCAGAAAGTTTGCAACTCACTGACCACTCAGATGATGGCGAGCATTTTTTAGCAAGAAAATATTTTTTTAATTAAGATGTGTGCATTGTTCTTTTAGACATAACACAAAGGCTCATTCAATAGACTACAGTATATGTAAATATAACTTTCACACGCTCTGGGAATCCAAAAAAAAAAAAAAATTGTGTGACTTGCTCTATTACTGTGGTCTGGAACCGACCCTACAACATTTCTGAGGTCTGCCTGTATGGACTTCTTTGTGAATGGATTAGCACACAGGAGTGTATGATAAGAAACATCATCATCACAATGAATGTGTGTCTTTTACCAGGTAACTCTAAGGAATTCACTGCTGCTGCTAAGTCACTTCAGTCGTGTCCGACTCTGTGTGACCCCATAGACAGCAGCCCACCAGGCTCCTCTGTCCGTGGGATTCTCCAGGCAAGAACAGTGGAGTGGGGTGCCATAAAATCCTAATACTTCTGAAAAGTCAAATTCTATCTTGACAATAGCATGGTTGGGCCTGGGGGGCTCAGGGGAGTTGCTAATTACTACATCGCAGTAATCTTCACCAGCCAGTGCAGAGCTCAGTCAAATCATAGGCCAACCTCTACATTAAATATGAAGAGATGGGGCTGTCAGCAAAATACACTGAGACTCTCTACATGGAAAATGAAAAAAGAATTTTTAATAGAGGTCTCCTGTTTTGTTTCTTGGAAAATGCCTGGTTCTTAAACTCTATGATTATTTGAACATTTAAATAGTAAAGAGTTAAGAAGAACAATAAAAGGTTTTTTGGTGTCTTCCCTTTTATTTATGAGAGAACGTTATTGCCCATATCCAGTTTGTTCATGGCTGGAGATACATCCCCCAAACAGCAAAATCCACATCTAACTCATCTGAGTACATGAGAACAAGATTGATAAGGGAGCAGATAAAAATGAATGTCTTCATGTCAACATCCAATAATAAGATATTTCTCAAGGTGCACTTCTGCTTTAGAATGTAGGTTATAACCTACAACTTATGGTTTTTCTGGGCAATTTCAGTCATCTGATGGATCCTAATGTTTAATCTTCTTTTTTTCCACAGATAATATGCAATAATACCCGCATAGTTCAGTTCAGTTCAGTTCAGTCGCTCAGTCGTGTCCAACTCTTTGCAACCCCATGAATTGCAGCACGCCAGGCCTCCCTGTCCATCACAAACTCCCGGAGTTGACTTAAACTCATGCCCATTGAGTCGGTGATGCCATTAAACCATCTCATCCTCTGTTGTCCCCTTCTCCTCCTGCCCCCAATCCCTCCCAGCATCACGGTCTTTTCCAATGAGTCAACTCTTTGCATCAGGTGGCCAAAGTATTGGAGTTTCAGCTTCAGCATCAGTCCTTCCAATGAACACCCAGGACTGATCTCCTTTAGGATGGACTGGTTGGATCATAAATATTATCTTCAAGAGACTGTAGATAATAAAGACCTCTTAAACATCACAATGGGATGTAGACATATCTGTCATTTGCTGGGTTAGCAAGCAGGAGTGTTGAGTGATGAGAAGCATTATCATAATGAATGTGCAACTTTTACTTAGTAACTATGGAATTCGCTGAAATCTTGAAATATTTTAAAAGTCAAATTCCACTTTAGAAGTTGGGAAAATGGAGTCCTTCCTCTCAAAATAAGATATCCATTCTGATGATGACAACACTGCTTCTTCCAGGTCATGCTGCAAAGTGGGAGCCCAGTGTTAGAGTGATGGCAGTGATGACATCACAGTAAGCGATGATGACATCGTGAGCAGTGAGATGTAGGTCCTCAGTCAAGAGCCATGTGAAGCCAAAGGGATGTCTGTACTATACCAAAGTCACATTCCTGACCTTCTTAGGACTGCCCATGTTAAAGGAAACCGGTGGGTGATTTGCTGGGCCCAGTTGGCGGTGATTAGACTCCTGAAGACAAAGGAAAAAAAAGGATGAAATGAGTTGCTTGAGATCACCATAAAAGGCACATTTGAGAAGAAATCTCTACTCATCAGCAAAGATAAAATGAGGATGTAGAGAGGAATACAACGTTAGCATGTGTCCTTCCTTTATGATTTTCAGTACAACACTCTAGACATTTCCCAAATTCAGGGCCTAAAGAGAGATCCAATTCAAAGAATCTAGAATGTGTATGAAGGCAAATTACAGCAAAAATTCATGATTTTGTTTTTTAATATTCCAAATTCTCACCATTATGTGAAAATATAAAATATTTTCAACCTTCTTTAAATAACACATTCCTTCCTAAAGGAAAGGAGCAAAATTGATGAGCTGACTCCATGTAGATCACCCATCTATCTCCTCAGACAGTTTTCCTGGCTCTTATATTCCCCTTCTGAAATGTGCTCCCAAGCAGAACACTCACTCCTCCAAGGGGCCAATGCCTGTGGAAGAGTGCTTCCTTGTTAGAATACATGCAGTATATCTGGAGAAAATACATGCAGTATATACATGGAGAAAAACATGATCTGAAAGGATACATGCATCCCAATGTTCACTGTGGCACTGTTTACAATAGTCAAGACATGGAAGCAAACTAAATGTCCATCGACAGAAGAATGGATAAAGAAGGAGGTACATAATACAATGGAATATTAGCCATTAAAAAGAATGAAATAATGCCATTTGCAGGAACATGGATGGACCTAGAGATTGTCATACTGAGTGAAATAAGTCAGACAGAGAAGGAGAAATACCACAAGACATCCCTTAGACGTGGAATCTAAAAGAAATGATTCAAATGAACTTACAAAACAAAAGCACACTCACAGACTTAGAGAACAAACTTATGGTAGCAGAGGAAAAGATAGGGGGAAGGGACAGCTAGGGCATCTGGGATGGGCATGTACACACTGCTATATTTAAAATGGATAACCAAAAAGGACCTACTGTATAGCACAGGGAACTCTGCTCAATGTTATGTGGCAGCCTGGATGGGAGGATGGCTTTTGGGAGAACGGATACATGTATATGTATGGCTGAGCCCCTTCCCTGTTCGCCTGAGACTATCACTACATAGTTAATTGTCTACGCAGGTAGCACTAGTGGTAAAGAACCCGATGGCCAATGCAGGAGACGTAAGAGATGCAGGTTCAATCCCTGGGCCCAGAGGATCCCATGGAGAAGGAAGGGCATGGTAACCCGCTCCAGTATTCTTGCCTGGAGAATCCCATGAACAGAGGAGCCTGGCGGGCTACAGTCCATAGGGTTGCAAAGAGTCAGACACGACTGAAGTGACAGCACACATGCGTACACCAATGCAAAATAAGAAGGTTTTAAAAAATAAAATAAAAAATAAATTACATGCAGTGTATTTTCCTGCCCATCCTGAAGATGCTGGCTCAGACTGCAGGGCCCTGGAGCTGCATTTAACATCTTAAATAATGTAACCAGCCACCATGAATAATTAACGTCACAATGGAACGGCAGCGAGTCTTGCGGATGGCACCACTCTGACCCCTGATCTTAATTCATTGATTCCCGGTCACACAAGGAGAACCTTGTGGCTGACTGGGCTACATCGTGCCACAAGGATGGTGCTTCTGTTGTGATGATGCCTGGGATTTTGCTGTTGTTTGCCTTTTCCCCATGACATGGTTGCACCAACCAATGTTGTTTTCTAAATTTATCAAGTTTATTTCTGTTGGTCTCAGTACGGAAGAGATGAGCAGGGAAGACATAACCCAGGTTTCAAATTATTCATAAGTTCATCCCCCAAAACTAACAGACTTGGAAGGAAAGACACAGAATTGCCTGAAATAACCAGAAAAAAATGGACTGCCAGTGAGTCAAGGAGAGGAAAAGGAGGATTGTTTGTTTTAAATATTCATCATGATGCAAAATATTTGCAAACCCCATGGTTTTGTATCAAAATAAAAGAAGCTTTCCTTTCTCATTGACTGCAATTTTCAGGAAGAAATTTCTGACTTTATCAGTTTTGTGCTAATGAATTAATGGACAGTGACACCTACATTAACTGTACCTCATCAACAGAACTTCTTGTCTGGAAAATAACACCAGTGTTATATATCTTAACTGGAGATGCAACCAGAATAGAAATAATCAGGAAGAAAATTGTCATGTTTTTATTAATGCAAATTTTGAAATTTGCATTTTTTTTACCTTCTGAGGTTTTTACCTTCTGAGGCTTCCTAAAATTTAGTGCTTGATCTGGGATTTCTACAGCCTAAAATCCTCTTTTATTCATTCATATTGAAAACATTGTGCCTTCGGACCCACATAAAACACGGGAGATTTAATAAGTGTTCCCCAACTATGATGCCTCATGGTTATGGAGTATTTCAACATCAGGACATTTTCATGTGACCCTCCTCACAGCCCCCAACAAACATCTTGAATCCTCTGTGCTCCGCAGCAAGCTCCCTGCGTGGGGTCATGAACACAGGTCATTCCAAATGCACAGATGCAAGTGAAGCTCTGAAACTCAGGGATGACATCCCCTTAGGAACAATGCAATGCGTGTCTGTTATGTTTTCATACTGAGCTGCAAACGAATTTTCTTCCAAGCAGATTGCCCAGGAGCACAGTAAAAATGTCCATTCTTCAGCCATATCTCCCAGAGATTCTGGCCCAGAAAGTCTGGAAGAGACTCAGAAGGGAGCATTTTAACAAGCCACCAAAATTAGCCTCTGTCCTGAGGACCACTGCTCAGTCCACTGGTACCCAGACTAACCTGTTTCTAGGTGCTGGCTTCATCTCCACGCTCAGTGAGCATTCTTTGGGACCCAGAATACAGGAGAAATACCCCCCATTTCTCCAGTTGTGACAGTAATAAGGACTTTCTGAACCCTGGGTAAAGAGCCCCAAGTTCGGGGGGACCCGGCAGGGCAGTGGGCTGAGAGGTGGGGATGAGCATGGGAGGTGCTCCAGGAGGCTAGCGGGGGCCACTTCCCTTGGTTTAAAAGCCTGCGACTCACAGTAGACCTGACCTACACCAACCATGGCCCCTGGTAGCTCCAGACCACAGTGGCTGGTCTTATGTAGAGGCAACCTCCAGCCCACGGCTTGTCCCCAGTGGCAGTGCCCCAGAGCTGAGCCCTCACCCCTTCTGAGGTTCTCAAGGACCGTCAGCACTGAAAGAACCAGAGACAGCCAGGGATCTGAAAAAAGGGGTTCCCCACGACAGCTATGCTGACTTTCCCATGGCAGTGCAGGCCTCCAGTGTTCTGGACCTTAATAGGGAGGGTGTCGAAGGAGCGAGAGTTACGGGGGCTGGTGCCACGGCAGATAGGGTTTTACCCCTTCCTGGACAAAGGAGCCTGGCAGGCTACAGTCCATGGGGTCACAAAGAGTGGGACATGATGGAGCGACTGTCACTCACTCACTCAAAGTATGAAGAGGGTTTCTCTGGTGGCTCAGACAGTAAAGAATGTGCCTGCAATGTGGGAGACCTGCGTTCAATCCCTGGTTTGGGGAAGACCCCATGGAGAAGGAAATGGTGACCTACTCCAGTATTCTTGCCTGGAGAATTCCATGGACAGAGGATCCTGGGGTCAGTTCATGGGGTCACAAAGAGCTGGACATGACTGAGTGACTAACACACACACACACAAAGTATTAAAGATCCAGGCTCCTGTTTCGGTAACTGCTGAGCGTAGGTTGTAATTAAAATCACGCCTGGTGATGCACGATGAGGACACAGCATGTGGATGCTCTCAGCAGCCTGGGGATGTAGATACAGATGGTAGAACTCTGGGTGGGACTGAAGGGAGGGTGAAAGTAACTCCCCAAACAGCTTGCTCCTCGGCGGCGCCAGTGCTCAGCTCTGAGCGGATGTGGTCACAGACCCCAGGGCCTCCTCTCCTTGTGGCGGGGTCCACATGATGCCAGCAAGACTGCTGCTGCTTCTGCGTAGTCGCTCAGTCATGTCAGCTCTTTCGCAACCCCATGAACTGTAGCCTACCAGGCTCCTCTTTCCATGGGATTCTCCAGACAAGAATACTGGAGCCAGTTGCCATTTCCTTCTCCAGGGGATCTTCCCGATTCAGGGATGGAATCTGCGTCTCCCGCACTAGCAGGCGGATTCTTTACCACTGAGCCACCTGGGAATCGCATGGTGTGCAGGCAGCACCGGACCTGGAGAGCAGTCCAGTAAATCCCAGTCCAGTGCGGTTAGCATGAATGTCTTGGGACTCTGAGCAAATCATAAGTATCGCCCAGGGTGAAATGACAAAGTAGCCTAGTCGATCTTTGGCAACATCCCACTCTCCCCACCTACAAGGCCATTTCCGTCTTAGGCAATAACCCTTCAATCCAGCCACGTGTCAGAAACCCCTCCACTGGCTCTAAAGTGCAGAGATGCCCAGGCTGCCCCACCACCAGCTGGACTGAGCCAAGAGATCCACGGTGGGGGGGGACCAGGAAATTGGGTACCCCAAAGGCCACACCGATGACTGCCCTATGCCTTGCACCCACAATTCTTCAGGCTCCCCCTTCCCTGGATCATCTTTGAACAAGACAGCCTTGAAGAAACCCTGAGGGACCAAAATTACAAAGGAGCAAGATGGCCATTTGACCTGGAATCATGCACCTTTCTTCAAGGACCCGAAACAAAACGTTGCATACTCATTTACTCCGGTCAAATAGTATTTTTGTTGAGATCGCTTTGTGGTAAGCAGTCTATAAGCACTCAGGCTCCTGGTGTCACTTTACTGGTAACAGCGTAATGCTGGGTTTTGAGGACTTTCTCCACTAGAGGGAATTAGTGTTTAATGAGCCCCCAGAATTCTGTACCAGACTGCACGTAGCCCTCAGCCTTCCACTACCTAAGACCTCCTGAAGATGTGGAGGGTAAGGAAGACACCAGCTGAGATGAGAAGGTGGTGTAGGGAGAACACACACAGGTGGACTCATGACATGCTGGATTAGTCAAAGGCAAGATGGCTCTG